CCCTTGCGCAGGGCCTCGGGAGCAATCTATATTGCCGTCTGGACAGAACTGATCTGCGAAATAAAGTGCTTGCGCGGACCTGGTTGCGGTCGCTTATGCACATTACCAGCAGCCCGGTACGGCGGAGCGTTGGATTTAAATGAGAGAGCATTGTGCTAGATTCTGCATCTCGTATGCTGTGCAACTGCGGGGACCTCAACAGGTACTTTGGAAACCATATTCTAGACATTTGACAGTGATTGTGTCCCTGCATGGGCGGAGGTAGAGTCAGAAGAGGAAATGTGATGCAGCGAACGTGCGACGAACATTCGATGCCAGCGGTTAACGCAACGCAAGGACGGATGGCATCGGCGCGCAAGACCGAGAATGAAACTTCCCCTGCGAGAATTCGATATCGAGAGAACTATTTGGAAGAATGGTTCAGTTAGTTAGGTCTTTCCTTTGAGCCGCATCGGATCGGAGAGAATGCCGACTGCGACAATGCTAGTCATGGTAAGCCTCCGACAGCGTGAGACGGTGCTCTCACGATAGGCGGAAACACCGCCGTTTCAGGAAACATATACGCTGATCGAGATGTGGAGAAAAGGGTCCCCCCACAGTCCACGACGCTGTATCCTTTCCTGTGACTGGTGCAATTTCTACCGGCAAAACTTCGTTCCTCGACGCAAGTACCATTCTGGTGATCCGCGCCTCTAAGAGAGACCATGTACGTGACTCGCATGTCGCCAGCCTTATCCGCCGCGATTTCCTGCTCAGGCAGGTCCGCAGTCGCCAGTGTGGAGACCCCGCAAGTAAGCGATTCTAGGATAGAGGATGGATTCACGGCCTGGATGGGCGGCTCTAGAAGCTCGCTAGACGTCCTTTGCTTTGTGGTCCCGAGTCAGCAAGCAAGGGGCGGGAAGGCTTGGTAGGATTTGGTATTTGTCCCGCCGGCTCTGTTATCTGGGGTGAATAGACGACTACCCTCGGAACCGGTTGCTGCTAATGTCGGCGGCTGACATGGAAATGTGCCCCGTCAGCTGAGACGCACATGTGGGACGGAAGTATACTCTCCCCTTTGTCCTGCGTTATCTTTGCTTTTTTGGGCCGACGAGAAGAGGGGCGGATCTATCTGCCAAGTGGATTATTGGGGAAAAGGCGCGCGAGCTAAGAGGCCACGATGTTCAGGTACGTGAGCAGATTGGCGTAACATCCGTTCTGGGTAACCCACGGCGGAGCTACGCTGATAAGTCGTGGCATGTGCCGCAGTCGCATAGCGATTCTGGAGCTGTTTGTCAACCTCTTCCCATACCATAGTCTCGCTTTTTGGTTGTGGTACGACGGCCTTTTGCATCATGTCGGTCCGGTGGTAAATCCTTTGTTGGTTTCTCGCAGGATTGATGGCATACACATACGTATGTATCTTCGCTGCGCATCCGCCGGCCCGACATTGATCAAACGCCGCAATATCTAGCGTCTAGCCAGCGGAGAAGATCCCGCCAGACCTGCCGATTCGCACATTCGAGATTTTAAGATCGTCATCGCTGTGGAGTAATGACGGCGCTGCTGCGCTCCAGTCCGGGGTACATGCCCAGGTGTACCAGAGGTGATCGCCTCAATCAACCGGCGGGAAATAGTTGCAGCGAGGGAAGATAGGCTGTGAGAGTTTGGCGCTTGCAAATCCGAGACAAGCAGTCTGACGAGTCGCTTGGAAGTCCGTCGAATCGCATAGTTTCACAAGCAAGCGCGGCGTCTGCCGATGGACAAGTGCGATTCGTGCTTTGGTGAGGACAGGAGATAAGCCAGCACGATTCGATAGATCCCCGCAAGGATACCAGACAGCCAAAGGATCTCGGAAATTGGCAACGTCGTCGGTTCTGTCCATTTAGAACCAAGGCGCCTTCCGGTTTCGGACTCTGACCATGGAGCATTGGAAGCGCCACTTTTTATTGCGTGTGCCACGCACTCCACAGTCTGACTCCTTCCCTGCTGCCCTGTTCCGTGCTCTCCGCAAAAAAAACTTTCAGGGCTCTTGTGTCATCACTCTGCTAGCGCCAGTGCCGCAAGGTGTGCCATAATTGTCATGGGCTGGAGCTTATCGCACGCAATGCGGAAAAGGACAATAATAGCTGCTAGTTGCTCACACGAGATGAGTGATCAAATGAAACATGTCTGAACGTCGTTGGTGTGGGTGGGTTTCCTCTGCTCTCACCGCATCTTCACTCTTCCTCCTCCGGGGTAAGGCACCCCGCGTGAAGGAAGATCGCGTTTGGAACAGAGTGTGGTAGTACCAGACAACGGAATGTGGGGAAACATGATTTTTTGGTTGTGTGATACTCGTCTGATCCGTGTCGTAAGATTTATTTGTTGGCCTACCAGGGGATCGACGAAACTTATCTGTGGGGAAGATTGAGCGTGGTGGTTGGTCGTGGTGTGGAGAGAGATCAGGTAGATAGGCTACAGAATCCCAGCGTTCCGGGTTGATGCAAGTATACCCTGCGGATGATTCTCGTTGCTCGCATCACAAGGGTGCTAAATCACGTCACGCATAGCGACGTACTTTACCATAACATAACCATCTCGTAATCGCATTTTGGTACAAGCGTGGGTGTGAAATAAGTGTGGATTGGGGTCTGCAATTAAGCGCTAAGCTGAGTGTATGCTGTCTAATCTTCTCTGCACTGCCAATAAGCAGGCGCTTCCCTCGCGACAGCCTGGCCAACAAAACAGGGCTGAGTGGAACATATACAAGATTGCGAGCCGCCAGATGCGGCTTCGCGGGGTATTGGATCCGACAAAACAGTAAGAAAGGTCTATCTGGGTGGTGGGGCCCGCAATGTGACAGGGAATCGTGATATGCCACAAGCATTACCCCTCATGAAAGTTTGTCCATATCTAATCTCATCGCTTGCTAACGTGAATGACGAAATGCAAAAATGCTGACAGAGAACGCCGGTGCCATGCTAGTTGAGTGGAGTTGAAAGTTTTAGTTGCGATGTGACAGGTCCTCGCCGGCTAACGAAGCGGTGGCCGAGGAGTTGCCGGAAGAAAACCCGCTATTACTCGGGCCATTGAGGAGATCCTGGACGGCGACCTTGGGAACTTGCGGAACCGGCAGTTTGCGCTGAGCGCCCTCTGGTTTTGAGATGATGTCCCCTATGCGCAATCCGGAGGATTGGCTGGGTACATAGGGCTGTTCCCGATCCGTAGATGGCTCCATTGGTGCGAGAGCTGGTACGAAATTCTGATTCAGACTCAGATGACGTAGATGGGGAAGTTGGAGATCGTTGAATCCGTGGGGACGTAATCTTGGTGAGTGAGCAGGGGTTGCGAGCGGGGTGTGGTCAGGAGTCGGACTGCAGGAATCGTGGGAAAATGTTGGCGATGGCGGGGCAGTCGATGTCGGCGAGCCTGGTCTTGACTTCTTTGTCATCCTGTGCGAGTACGGATCGTCGTCCTCGTGTGAATGAGATCTTGACATTGGCTGCGACGAGTACGCATACTGGGAGAGACCTGGTAGTCGGCTCGCGTATGGATGATAGCCGCTGGTGATGTGGTGTCGACTTGAGTGCGAGTAGTGACCAGGACGCTGCTCTAGTCTCGAGGCTGCGTCTGCGAGCAGATCCATGGGGCGGGACAGGCCGCTAGGGCTGTTGCTGTTACTGCTGTTGAAGCCTCCCTGGTGGTAGGCTGCTAGATCATTGCCCATGTTCGGCGAGTAGTTGGAGAACGAGTGGGGTGGCGACACATTTGGTGAGCCAAGCTGAGAGCCCGGCGCGCTGCGAGAGATGGGCTTTGAAGGAGGAGGCATCATGTGCGCGAGGCCAGATCCGGGCTCCATCAGACCAGCCTGAACAGCAGCTACAGCCGCCTGGTGAGCGGCAGCATGTTGTTGACCCTTGCCCCTACGGGAGTTGGGGTTGTTGTGTATCCTCGAGTGTCTGTGTCAAATTAGCTAAAAATTCATCGATAGTTTGGGGTGCGACTTACCGAGTGAGTTCATCAGAGCGAGAAAATCGTTTTGTGCAGCCTGGAAATGTGCAGGCATGGGGCTTCTCTCCAGTGTGGGTGCGGATATGGCGAGTCTGGTGTTCCAGACGGTGGAAAGCCTTATCGCAAAGAGGGCACTTGTAGGGCCTGGGGAGATCCTGTCGAGGCTCGTCCGACTGTTGCGGGGCGTTTTGCAGCAGAGGCGCCATGAGGCTCACGGTAGCAGTAGCCATGGAGGTTGGTTGGGAGGTCGAAGTTGGTTGCTGTTGTTGGAGTTGTGAAGAAGTGTCGGGGTTCAGCAGGTTGGCGAAACCTGTCGAGGCAGAGTTGGATTGCATGTGACCGAGGGTGAAAGTTGGGGGAAGGCGGATGATGGGGGGCTCGGATATATGTATGGATCAACTAGGCGGGCGTGTGGGGGTCGACTGATGGCCGTCAGGGCTGTCTGTGCTGACGCGGGCGAGGATATGCCGGAGCAAGCGCAGAAAGAAACGCGGTGCGCCAGTGCGGCTTGGCTTCCTTCGGGGGGGCGCTCGAGTCGTGGAGACGTATCAAGAATTGCGGGTCCTTGAACGCTTGCGTGATGACTTGCGGAGAGGAGCGTGCAGCGGGTGCAGGGAGTTGCTGGAGCGAGACTCGAGTGCGTCGGAGGCCTTTTTGGGCGAGAGCGGGTGAGATGGGGGATGGGAGGTGATGGCGCAGTACCTAGCGGAACTTGCCTTGGGCCGACGCTGGTTTTGATGGCTCAGTCCCTGGTGGAGCGGCGATACTTGGTTGAGCGCACGATGCAATTTGCAATCGTGAGAATTCTGCAGCTGAAATTTTGCAGCGGTGAGTGTCGGCGAGAGGTTGCAGGTGGCTACGTGAGGCTGTGTGGACTGAGGGTACAGCGTGTATGAACAGCAGACCGGGGCCCCCAAACACGCCTGGGGGGTAGCAACAATCCAAGTGGGCGTACGTGAGCAGAGTGAGGCAGCCCGGCGGCACGTCAGATGGTGCTACGTCGCTGCGGAGAGTGTGGGTGGGCTATGCTATGCTATGCGGTGCGAGCGATTGACGCCGCGAAGCTGGGGGAGACTGATAAGGAGACGGCGGGCTTTGTATGGGGTGCTGGAGACGTCACACATCTGGGGTTTGTTTGTGCTCCCGCGTCTCATCGACGCCCTCTCCTCAGCTGCCATAGGTGCGGCTTCCCCTCGTGGTCCTGCCTCCTCCGTTGCTGCCCTCTCGGCGCACACGGCGTGAGACGAGCCAGAGAGATGCCTACACTACAACACCACGTATAAGCTGCGGGACCACCACTGCTGCCAATTCACCCACCCTCAGGGGTCCACGCATGCACGCCCCCAAAGCCCGACGATGCACTGAGACATGTCTGCACTCACATCATCCCAGCTGTTGTCGACTTGTGCTGAGCGCTTCCGCACATCTCCTCCACCCATTGGCCTTGTCAAATGACCAATAACGCCCTCCAACACACTCCCCGATTTACCCACTGGCTTTGCTCGCGTTCCACCGCAGCCTGGGGGCTGATCGAGCACACTTTCATGGCTGTGGGGGATCACTTCCTGGGGTACGGCAGGCACAGCACGCAATATTGAGCCACCGTCTCCGACCCCCAAGACCCCTCGCTCCAGTGCCTCACACAGCATCGCAATATCTCTCGCATCATCTACCAGCACATGCTTGGAGGGGTCCGTTGAGCTCCGTGCTACCGAGCCGGCCACTTTGCCTTATACTACGGGCCGCCTTCTATGCGTCCTCCCGGCCTGTGCACACACAAGACTCAGATGAAGCTGGAGTCGGTGAACCAACGCAGGGCGAGGGCGATCTCTGCCGAGTAGTGCCCAATACTGACGATGCATCGGCAGAAGGAAAAACATGGCTTCACTATCAGCTCATACTGTGCGAGGATTTTTTCCAACTTTATCGCAGCCCCTCGGTGACCCGTATTGGTCTCCGCCTCGGTCCCGCAACCCATCTCCGCTGCTCGTTATCTCCAACGCGAGCCATGTTCTCCTACCCCTGTGCTTGGCTTTTCAGCAGATCGTGGGGGACTGCAACGGACCGGCTGTCCCGAGCATTATGACGCCCGCTTTCTTGGTATTGTTGCCTATGTGAGAACAGCTTAGCTGCTATAGCCACGCCCCTTGAAGTCGCCGATACTTAGCAGGGCACTGTTGCAAATGCTACGCTGCAATCTCATTTCGGGTCCGCTATTCTTATCTATTGTTCGACAAATTTTTGAGTACTGCTAGTCTCTCGATAGCTCGCCCCGCTTTGGGGACGCTTCCTCCGAGCATACGCCTATGCCGAGCCGACAGAAATTTCTCGCGCCAGCAGGACTGTCTCTGCGATAAACGTGGCCTCGGAGATTCTCGGAACGTTTTGTGCTGGAGTTGGGGCTCCGCTCAATACTACCTCGGTGACGTCTTAGCCGCTTCTGGACCTCCGATATGCAAGGTACGCCTTCGTGGAAGCTTTCATGGAAGCACTGTCCTTCCACACGGCACAAAGTACTAGACCCGAAACCTCTGATTTATGCCGACGTTCTCCCAACACACGTTTCACTTGTGAACAGAACGGTAAAACGTTGACTGAAATGCAGTTTCATGGTTTGTTAGCCGACCTTTGATCTAGTTTCCAGCCATGTGCGACAGTTGCTTAACGTCGGTCGGAACGTAAGATTCCAAGCTGTTTGTGCCGTGAGACCATTGCTGCAAAGGTTTTGCGTTCTCGTCGCCCAACAAGACCTGACACCAGACTTGAGTCTCCAGGGTACCTCCGGTCCATCATACTGACGTGTTTCACACATTTGGAAGACCACGTTACGCGTCAAAATCCGCAGTGCCCGATTATATCGGTTGATCCACGGTCGGTCTCTGGGGCCCCGCACCGTTGGCAGTGGCTCATGGATCGAGACGAGGCGACGGCGATCCAGGGGCTTATATCAATGACATCGCCACCTCATCAAATCCGACATTCTCTGCTTACCCCTAAAGTAGCAATCTTGGCCTCCGTTACTCGACGTCAGGCTTTCGTTGTCGACGATGAACGAAAGATCCAACACTAGAACGGCTCCATGTACTCCGCCAAGCCTTGGTGGCAATCTCAGTGCACAGATGGTGGAACGGCTTACGAATGCTGCATATTGCTCGGGGCGTTGTATGTAATAATGGCGAGATGGGATGTCCTTTAATGCAGTCGACCAGCTCGAACGACTGCCTATGCACATGTCGATCCTACGTCAGGCTACTATCTCCACAAGCCCGCAAAAAGATCGACCTTGCAAGATGCGGCTGCGGCGCTCGACAAACTCAATATTTCGACCCTTACTAGTATTGGACGCGAGACCAGCCCACACTCTTCTGGCATTAACGCATCATAGTAATCCATTATTACCCCCTCATAGATCTTCGCAGCTACGATCGTAATTTCTGGGGATAATCAATCGGATGCAGCCCGCGGATGAAAGGATAGTGTTGTCGATCTGCCTCTAGTCCCGGGGAGATTCTCGTCGCGCCAGGATGATCGCACTTTCTGAGACCGGGGTTAACATATATCATACTTGAACTATCGTGAGACTCTTAGCTGTATAAAGATCATGATCAACGTATAGGGTAATTCATGGCGGAACTTTCCAGGCGCGAGACGACCGGGGAAGGTCGTCAACCGACAGAATGGGACTCTTTGTGGTCACGATCATATGATGTACAGATTTTGATGGCGGTAGTCCCAGTTTGTCTGCCCACCATCTCATGTGCATGTCTACGCTTGAAGTCACATTGGAAGTAAAATATGTCGGGTCCACGTTGTGCCTTGTCTTAGTGCACACGAATACACTGATGCAGATATGTGGGTAATGAGCGACTGTCGTTTATCTGCCCACGCAGCAAAGATTCTCGTCTCGTCTCGTGTCTGTGCTGTCGTGCAAGCAATCCATCTAACGCCAAACGAAAAGAAGATGATACCGGAGAGAATCTACGAATCTGCGTACATGTATATCCTTACTAACGATAGGAGACGTAAAGTCGTTCAGCAGAAAGTTACACATATACCGACTATCACGCCAAGTTTCTGCCTCAGCTTGACACTGAGCGGAGGTCACTGTACCAGAGTTGATATGCCTTTGAACATGAGAAGTGATATGCAGTTGCCTAACATACAAAATGTCCATGTAAGAACAATGCACAGATTGTATGCGGACTTGATGATCTCTGTTGCAATAGAAACATAGGTTTGAACTATTTGCTTCCATGAACAGGCATGACTGTATTATACACCCACGCGTTTTGTTTCTACAGATTGAAATTTAACATCACTCTTCACCTCTGTGTCAACTTCATGCTCCTTTCTCGGACATTATTATGGCCTCTTAAATGTCCCCTTATGAGAGTCGTACAACCTGAACTAGGGAACTATGAAGTTGTGAGACATTGCAAAGCGATTAGACGCGTCTAGCCCGAAAGTGTAATTGAGATTCTTTGCAGGTCGGTCTCGATCGTTTTAAGTAGACGCGTAGTAAGGTCATACAGAGAATCTCGTGTCAAATTACGAAGTATACATGCCGGCAAACTCTTCTGTGTATACATGGTGTTGTAGAGAGATAATCTAAACTTCAGCCTTCATCACAGCGGCGCTTGCCACCAAATATCTTCTTGGTCGAAATCCACTACAGCATACACCATGTACAACAGTGTACAATGCCAGCCTTGCTCCTCACCTTTATTCCTCTATTCTCCGGATACGGTTACCCGATCTATAATCCCGTTACGTACGCATGCCCTCCCCCTCCACACCTCCTTCTACAGACGAAGGCATAGTATCGAGCCGAATCTCTAAACACCAACATCAGGATCAGTACCACGATCCCCACATTAGGCGTCCAAGAGAAGTGAAGATCTTGCTCCCCAGGCGGCTCGGTTCCCAGTACACCGAGTGACAATCGCGAGCTAGGGCCGCAAATGCCGTCTGTTTACACAACCTCCGCCTCTATCAAGGAAAAAGATCAACGGCAGGCGATAAGAAGTAGTGCCTTTGCGGAGAAGCGTGGGGAAACAGTGACATCGCAAGGTTAATACTAAAGCAAGAACGTTCTGTGTCTGGCGTTAAGCGAGGCTCTGGTTGCTGTGAAGCCGATGCTATGCGTTGAAGCCGTGGCTGCTTGGTTCTGGGATGGCGCAACAGATACTGATTATTGTGGAGAGCGTGTAGAATTCGTGTAGCTCATTGGTGACAGGAAAGAAGACCTAAGGTTCGTTCATACATGCGCTCTTCGCGATAGAGCAATGTACTGGATGTCCGCTTACTGTGAAGTCGGGATCGAAGATAGGTGCTTCCCCGGTGAATTCGTGTAGTTTGTTTGTGCGACTGTGGGGTAGTCAAGTGCCATGGTATAAGTGGCTTGCTATGATACCATTGCCGCACTTTAGCAGCCTGCTCTTGCGGTCTTCTCCTATCATGTTGTCAGGTGGTCTCACCGTGTGTGCATCCACATGCATCCGGAACTTGAAACGAGCAAGCTTGTGGCAGACCCCCACGCCTGGTCGACACACCAACCCCGCTGACCCCGGACTCGCGAAGCGTCGAGCCATCATCATCATCCAAAAGAAGCACGAATTCTGCCGGTGAGGAACCCAGGGCTTTGGGTCTGCGGGAGCTTCCCCGATCCCTGTGCGTAGCGCGTGTGCACCGAAGGTCTGGGGTGACGCATGCACGTGTGAAGGCTGATAGGTTTCTTATTGTGGAATATGAACTTGCTTTTGGTTGCTTTTCGTGGATACCGCTAGTGTGGCAACGAAACCCCCAAGGCTCTGCGTCTAGGCCTGCTCCAAGGGATGACGGATGCGGAGCAAATTTACCGCCGGAAGAATACATACATGTCCGAGCTGAATTATGCGAAGAGGAGAACATGGAACCATGACGCGGAGAGACACTTTGTTGCTGATGTCAGAGCGCTTCGAATGCGGGCGGGTTAATGCGGAGACGGGTGTGGGTGTTCTCCATCCCAGGGTGTCTGGATAACCCCACACGGCTGAATAGCGAAACCCGTCTCATGGGCTCACGGCCCTGTATCATCGGTCTGAATGTGAGATCTCATCTTGATTGGAAAGCTCCGTCAGTCTGGGTATCTTGTATACGACGAGTAATTGGAGACATACGAGCTTACCCCAGATGTAAGCAGAGCTTCCCCGATAAGCAACGCGCGTCGCGACAAAGTAAAGACATGGCAAAACTTGGTTTCGGCCGAAGTGTAGGGCGAAATTATTCTTCTGGAATCAAACTGTAGATGTCCGTATTACTTTCTTCTTGTGGCCCTCTGCAACGACATCTAGGCGTTGTCCTGCAGCGTTGTCCTCGTCAACAGGCGCTTCATCCATCATCAACCCCTCAGTGGCGACTTCATCGTCTTCGATCCAGCCATAGAGCTCGTCGGAATTTGGCTCTGCATCGGCATGCTCATCGATCTCGGCGAAAGGTCTTTTGGGCGGTCGGTCTTCTTGTTGGCCATAGATAGGGGTTGTGATATCGTCGGCTGCTACGTTCATGTCGCAAAGACCAACCTGTATAGCGTCAGCGGGAGATGACCACAACGGACGTTGGAGCGCATCTTGTTAGATGAGGGCTCTGCAGGTAATATATTGACGCACATGGTCGATGGTGAAGGGTACCACGTTGCCCACACCCCCTTCTTCTGCCAGAGCTACGCCATTCGCCTTGACTAGGCCAGCAAACCGGGCTTTCTGCAACCTGTCGGCGTCTGCCTTGTTTCTGGCTTTCCCGTGCCGGAGCCAATCTCTAAAAAGGACCAGACGAGTGGAAATACCATTCTCCCATTCAACACCTGATATTGCGGGTACCAACAATGCGCGCGAACCACCACGGATGCGTGTGATGGTCTGGCTTGTGATTAGGAGTGCACTGTCGTGCAGCGCAGCAAACTTAGTGAAGGTGGCTATCAGTTGATTTATGACAGTGTATCGGCGTCCTGCAGCCCACCGCGCCTGATCTGTTTTATTCCTGGGCATGCGGTCGTCAACGTTGCGGGGGTAGGCGTTGTCGACGAGGGTCGCGAGAGAGTCGATGACAACCAGGCTAGTATTTTGCGGGGGAAAGGCAGCGGGGGCATGCACGAAGAGGGCCAGGAGATGTGCAAGCGTTGGCACAGGAATGTAGTGGAAGTGGCTACGCAGTTCCTCTGGGGAGACGTCGGACGCATCGGGGCGTGAAGTGAGCATGTCCTCGACGCGCTGCTTGACCAGAGGCGCACCAGCAGCATCTGCAAGCAATTAGTCGTTGTGCCCAATAACCAACGCTGATATGTACACACCGAGCCACACTACTCGCTGGCGCTCGCGCAGGGCAGAGACTGCGGCCTGTATCCTTGATGCCTTCAGCCACCGTCCCTCTAGAAGCCGTGACGCAGGCACATTTACCCAAATGCTGTCTTGCCGACTCCTGACGGGCCGAAGACCTCAGTCACCTTCCCACGCATGTATCCGCCCGAGACATGATGGCCCGGTAGGCTCGGTGGGGCGAGGACCTTGTCGAGCTGAGGCACGCCCGTCGACACAGTGCGAGCTCCGCGGGCATGGAGGCTCTGAAGGGCTTGGGATGCCGAGACAGTGGGCAGTCTATCTGCTGCAGTGTAAGCCTTCCAGTTGATATGTGCGAGGGAGGCAGTTGCGTACGCGACGAGGGGGGGAGCTGCGATGCTTGCTGGCTAGCCATAGTGTGTCGTCTTGTGTCGTGTCGTGGCTTGCGATTGAGTCTCAGCGGCTTGACTTGGTGGTGCAACAGTCTCGTGATTTCGCGTTCACGCGCATGACGTCTCGCGTTTCTTGACGTGTCCTGTGCGGAACGGGGTGGACGAGAGGTGTCGAGGAAGGATGGATGGTGGTGTCCAAGTTATTTCGTCACGAGCAATAGCGAACCGCGGTTCATGACTCGCACGCCCTCTCCCTTCGTCATCCCATGCTTTCTCACCATTGCACCCATCTTGTGTCAACAGAGTATACTGCAACACGGTCTCGAACCACCTGGTCCTTCATACTCATACGAGAACACCTGCCTTCTGCGTCCTAGCGTCAACCAATTTGCTTGGACTTATACCTTGGCATGTTTTCACGATAAGAGCTGCTTCCTCAGGCTTATATCCCCCTTGTGAACACGCAACACTTTCTTCTTCCGGAGACGACGTGAACGTCTACGACAGCATGGCGCAAAATGTTGAGCACATGCTCATTGCTGCCAACGACATACTGCAGGAAGCAGGCATCAACATAACGCTCCAGACGATCCTCATCACGACCGTATCATGTATCGCACCTGTGATACTTTTACTCCTTCTTGCCACCCTCAAATCGCCAGCATCACTGCCATCACCAGCCGGCTGCAGGAAACTCGGAATCCGAGGACGCAGCAACCTGGAAGACCAGTACTCGAAAAGATATGCCAAGGGCAGCGACCCCACCCCACAGAAGCCATGGACAGTGAAGGCTCTCTTTGTCTACCCGCTAAAGTCAGGCGCACCTGTCGAATTGGATAAGAGTGATATCGATCGTACAGGGCTGAAGTATGACCGCCAATTTACTCTTGCCCAACAAGTCACAAGTCTGCCTACGCTTGACGGAAAGGTCACAAGTGAATGGCACTTTATGACCCAAAGAAAGTTCCCTCGCCTTGCTAAAGTCGAGACTGAGATTTGGGTACCTGACCCTTCGGCTGGAGGCTACAAAGAAGATGGAGAATGGGTAAAGAGCGATGGATGCCTGATAATTCGGTTTCCTTTTTCTCCCGACACGGATTTCACTTTGGAAGGCTTGATAAACTACGGAAAGATTATGTTGGCGAAATTGGGCCGACAATCGGAGCCGACACTGGAGTTTAGAGTACCATTCAACCCTCCACAAGAGAGGATAGAGAAAAAGGGATATCGAAATGAAGTCCTGCGCATCTGGAAGGACAGCCCAGTAGCACTCAACGTTAGCTCGGAAATTGACCGCGAGGTATTCGAGAAGCTGAGGTATACTCTCGGTGCGGCAAATCCAATTGCGCTGTTTAGGATTGATGCAAATGCTTACCGAGAGGTACACAAATGTGCGCCTAAGAAGGAAGACGTTGGGTTTGAGACGGTCATCGGAATGCATGACTCGGTACGTATAGACCTTGCCAACAGCCATATCCTTGGACTACCCACGGGCATACACCAAGCTCATTGCTAATCATCTGACAGTACCCTGTTCACATCCTGAACCTCGCCTCTGTCCACGACGTAGCATCTAAGCTTCCCAATCCCTCCTCCGATTTTGGGGAAATCTGGCAGCGGCATCTTACCCTCCTTGACGCCTTACGCTTCCGCGCAAACATCTACATCACTGGACCCCCTGCTTTTGCTGAGGATAACTGGAAGAAGGCGAAACTTACTTCATCCGATTCTACATCCTCCCTAGACATGCACATCTCCTGTCGGACAACAAGATGCAAATTGCCAAACGTTGACCCAAAAACCGCTATAGCCGACAAGAACGAGCCATTGACCACATTGAGGAGTTACAGGATCATCGACCAAGGATCCAAGAATGCCTGTTTGGGTATGCAAGTCACGCCATTGAATATGGGAACCGTCGCGGTAGGCGACAAGATCGAAGTGCTAGAAACTGGGAAGCATTTCTTTGATGGAGGCGAGGGAAAGAAGGTTGATGGTTGAGCGGTTTCAGAAGCCTTTAGGAGAACAAAGCTCATTCGCAATACAGAAAATTGCCCTAGTAGACCCCTCACATAAGCCTCTCATCATCTCCGATTCGTTCGCAGTACGCTTTACCCTACCCGTGCTGATAGCTTTTTAGATCATTAGCCATCCCCATTTTTTCTCCCACTCTTCTTCCATCCTCCAACCACTCGGATCCCAACACGCGCACCCTATGTCGATAGTAAAACTTGGCATAGTAAAAAGATCCTTGCATAACTCCTCTTCATCCACCACACCTCTCAGTCTTATCAAACTATCCCGCATTCGTGGAAATGGTAGCCGATCGATCCACCGTGGGTGCACAATCATCTGTTGTAGCTCTGTCGGATGTAGGGGCAAAGGGATATGCGGCTTTGGCATGGGTGTGCGCGAGGAGTATGATATGGCGCAGGTGATGCCTTGGATATCGCCGTTCATATAGAGCGCAGAAAACACAGTCAAGGGAGTGGAGATTTGAATAAAAGGAGATAGAGTGGCGTATGGTTCTGAATACGGTGTGTAACTTGGATTGGAGACAAGTATTTCCGACTCTTGGTTAAGTTCGCTAATACGTGACTTGTTGGAGTAACCAGGTGATGGCAAAAGTGAGTTTGAAGCACTAACAAGTGCGAGTGAGTTATGATCATCCTCAATTGGGGCCTCCAGTGTTACAAGGGCCCTTGGAGATGTTGGGTATTGGTCTTGGGGCAGTCGCGCTACTGACAATCTGGTATCCAGCTGAGCTTGTCGTAATCGCTGCCCTGTATCTCGAGTTAGTATCCTCATACTACACATGCGGCGATTCATACATACGTCGCGCACGTTGTGCTAATCGGTCTTGTATTTGCTTCCTCTTCTTTGCATCTCGAACATTTCTCCATTCATCATCCTTGGGGTCTGTTCTTCGTACCATGTTGTGATACTACGCAGTTTCTAGCGTTGCTGGTATGACCTGTCTTTGCTGGAGTGTACGATTGAACAAGAGTTGGCTAGAGTGGTTCGATAAGGCGTCCATCATGCTTACAAATGGAAGTATAGGCAACAGGTCACTGCGCCAGTTGGCGCAGGCCTCGCATAAAAAACCATTATATTGAAGGACCGGAGAACTTATCACTGAGGTCTACATTATGCATGATTGATCTCTAAAATTCTTGCGCACATTGTTCTGCAAGTCTGTCGCGTACAGAATCGAGCTTCAAAAGATAAATTGGGGCTGCTTTTCATATCTGCTCAACAAGAATGAACATATCTTGTTTTGGAAACCACATACACAATCATAACTATTGGCTGATTGGAATGCTCTGCGTATCCGTGGACACTTGAGCATGTGCTGATTGCTGCATCGGAAAGAGCGATGCCCATTCATAATATACATCGTCTTCAACTCTTTGTGTACTACTCTAGGTCATATCGGCAGACTGAGTGTTTCAATCTACTTGGTCACCGGAAGCCTATATTCACAGGGGGACATGACGCAGCGATGGGCAGATGGAAGCCAGCCTTCATAACGTCTGAGACTAGGTACGGCGCTGCTTAGTCATCGCTGAAGTATTCAACCCCTGCTATGTCTTTTCGGCATTGCTCCTGCTCCAACATTTCGAACCTCTCGCAATCGCTTCACAACTTCATGTTTAGCATCCGGTAACGGTTTTGCAAAAGGACTCGTCACCCCTACGTCTCAATGCGTCATCAGCCCCTCAAGAATGTTGCCAACCACTTATGACGGCTGCACAGCCTGTTGGGGGCCAATATGGCTTCCGAGATGTGAGGCTGAGTTCTCACGCGCATCTCTGGGTGCGACCGACCCCAACCAGAGCAAACTGGTGCCTTATACATCTGGACTGATCTCATGCTCCTGACATCTTTCGCGTCAAGCCGCGCGTCAGACAATGATGCGGCATGGCGGATCCATTATCCATTACTGCTAGTATTATCACGCTTTTACACGTCTCTGTTCAAGTGACGGTGCTGATCAAACAGTTTCGCGATGAGGTTGTGGTCGTGGATGCGACGCTTACGGGCCTTCTCGACGATGTGAACGGGTTCCAGCGCGTACTGGAATCCATGAAAGAGACCATCGAGGAAAACAACAACAAAGAGACTCTACAAGCGACCGGCCATGTGGGTAGTCACTGGAAGAATCTCGCGCGCTCGCTAGAAGACGGTGCGGACGCTTTACAAAAGTTACATACCACCTTAGACGGGGTCAACAAAAAGTCATCGATATTGGATGCACCACGAAAGCAGCTTAGGCTAAAGAGTGCCTCTGAGCAGATTGCTCGATACCGAGAACAGATTCAAACATCTCACACAGCGATTCAACTATCGCTCAGTACAATTATTCTGTAAGTGGGTTCTCCTGGGGACGTTTGTTACCCCGCTCTCAGCCTCCTCCATGCCATCACGTGGCTGTTATCACTGCTTACTTCACTTGTGTTGGAGCACGTAGTGCGAATCAGTGTACCCCCTAATGCATAATGTTCGTTTTGCCGCTCTCATACTGACACAAAACTCAGCTGGAATCAAGTGACTTTCCAAAGATCGACCGAGATGATACCAGATAAGGTTGTTCCAACACTGGACAAACTGTACGATGAATTTCGTACGTTTGGTGCTCTTCTCAATACAAAGATCGAAAAGCTTCAGCATACAGTTACAGACCAAAATGACCCAGACAACTACGAGCTTATGTATATGAACAACTTGCGGGAGTGCGTTCGCTCAGCCGCTGATGTCGTCTCAACTGCATCGACAACGCTCAACGCAGAAACAAGTGACAAGATTTCTGTCAAACATGGTTCTGATTTCGGAGACGTCTTTGTCAGAGACGCGAATGAACCCATGTTACGTTGGTTTGCCTCAAACACCGTGTATGAATTCGAAGATGTGGAGGCACCTCTACCCGCTCCATCAGAAGCTAGCACAGGGGATGCGCAAACAGAGTATCAGTCAGATAGCGACTCAGATATCGAGAATGACCTGATCAGGTCTCTTTTCAACGAGGGTAGAAAAAGGAAGGACATTGGTGATCTAGAAAGTGCGGTTCGCTATTTTCGAAACTGCCTCACGAGGCTGTCGTCGAATACTAGCTACACATCTCTGACCTCAGCAAGAAGTGCAGCAGCATGCGGGGTGTCGAAAACCGACTTACTCGAATGTCTCCTCGATTGCTACTGTCTTCTGGAAGCGTGGAGCAAAGCGAAAGCAATCATGAAAGATAAGCTACTCATCACTGAACGCCAATTAGGCAAGAAAGATGAGCTCTATCTACGAGATACTCTGAGGCTAGCCGAGCTCATGATGAAGAACGGCGAATACGTCGAGGCGCACCTCCAGGCACGGCGATCACTGAGAGGATTCAGGAAACTGGGAAAACAGGGAGATAGTGGTTACGAAGAATGCTTGGACTTTTTGATTCGAATCTGTAGCACTGAGGGAAAAGTGGATGAGGAAGAGGCTTACACAGCTTTGTTGGCAAGCCACGAGAGGAAGACCAAGCGATCAGCTCCATCGCCTGAGGTTATATCGCTGTCGCACGTTAGCCCAAAGTTTCAGTCAGCTTCCGACCCGGTCTTAGAGGATGTCGCTCAAGCAGATTTCGAAGTTTCAGAGCAAGTGAAGGAGACGCTGGATCATGTGCATGTCTTGGAGAGTAATGAGGTGCCACTGATAGACACAGAGGATTCGAGTGTGCTTTCACCTGGTGAACTCCAAGTTCAGGATCAGACCGTGCTGCAAGAGGACCCAGAGCCTGTTACCGAAAGAGACAAGATTACATCAGAACAACAGCCCTCGTGTATCTCCAGACCTTACTCACCTACGGAGGATCTAAGCGTTCGTCCGGATTACGAGACGAAATCCCTGTCCAGTCACAGTGTTACATCGTCGGAACAACACGCTATGACTTTGGCGTCACAAGAGCAAGTATGTATGTTGCACAAGCCGTCTGATACATGCGGGCTAAGTGTCGTTCCGGAGTTACCAGCTATGCTGACCCCAGTGGACTTTGGAGATATTTCACATCTCGAGGGTTACGGGGCTCAAATCGCAGCTGCTGAGTTCATTTGTATGCTATACCGAGCTGCAGCAAACGAAGTGACAGAGAAAGAGTCGAGGAACTCAAGAAAGGATGCTGAGTTCCTAAAAGCATGGTGTAATCTGTTCCACGGCCGAGATCCTTACTACTTCTCTGAATGGCATGTTGAGGGTTATTACTGCATGATCAAGATCAATGATACGCACGGCTGTACGGTTTCGGGCCACGAGACCGAACAAAAGGCAAAAGAAGCTGCTGCCGCTAAAGTGTGTGAGATGTATATCTCTCACGCCGACGAAGTACTTACGCTGGACAAAATGACGCGACGCGATCCTGGCTCTGACAAAGAAGTTTTTATCCCGCAAAATGATCACGACATTGAAATACTTATGGGATGGGGAGAGGAAATGGATGCTTCATTCTATTCCCCGGTTACAGATACGAACATACCTCATATTACCATATCAGCAGAAACAGACGAACTTCCTACTGGTAATGGCGAGGCGGCGACACCTACCTCCGAGAAGTCAATAAATCCATCGAAGGTGCGGCGCAGTGCATCTGATTCCAAAATATCTTCCAACCAAGTGGCAGGACAAGGGTTTGTCGAGAAGTTTCTAACAAGGTCGTACGCCGCATTAAGAGGCACGAGAACACATCACAGCGCTGTCGCAAGCGTCTCGACGATTCCATCAAACGATAAGGAACCCCAATGGACTCCTGGTGATACTCATCTCTCGACTTCTGCAGAGGTATGTTTATATTGCGATAAGGATCTATCTGAACTCCCCTTTCCTTCGCAACGTAGACACAGAGACGGTGCATGTACACTGCATACTTCAAGAAGAAGTGTCTCGAACCCCATCAATGTCAGTTCTTCTTCAGACTTATCTAGAGACGATACCTCAACCCGTCTCATCAGTAACATCGACGCGACCACTTTTCCATCTCAATCCTCACAGTTCCAATACGTCGGGCAGGAGACGATTACAACAGTGTCTCCTTCGGCAGTTCAGCCTTCCTCCTTGGGCAACTCTACCGCACCGGAAGGCACATGGGCGTGTAATGAATGCAAATCAGACCTTCTTCAGTACATGAGTGAAGGTCGGTGTCGCTCATGTTTTGCCAACAGAAACGATTATTCTCCCAGCTCGACCAACGATTTTGCGCGTCTACCATATGATCGCCACCAGACACCGTTGAATTTCCTGAACTTGAACGCACCAAAAGGTGCAATAACACGACGGAAGGTGATACTACTAGGAGATACATTATGTGGTAAAACATTCCTCGCAAGTGCATGGAGTCAAGGGGATGTTCCAGAAGAAGACACACCTGTGATGAACCACTTCATCAGATCGACAAAGATTAGGGATCGTCAAATCGAGCTTGTCATCTGGGATAACACCGGTAGAGAGGGTTACGAGATGATGCGCCGCCTTTCATACGAGGATGCGCACATAGTATTGATTTGCTTCGACATCAGTGATCCAGATTCGTTTGAAAACATTGACTATATGGTATGTTCAGATAAGCGCCAAAAGTATGAGTACATTGGGACTGACGATACTAGTGGAGCGTTGAAGCGAACGAATACCTCCGCGATCTACCCAAGATACTCGTTGGGTGCAAGAAAGATCTCCGGAATGACAACGCGAAGCTCGACAGCCTACGCCGTCAGCACTTCATACCGATATCTCCATATGCCGTAAGTCTGGATCGGTAGGATATACGTCGCATACTAACCCTGGATGCAGGCTGACCGGCTTGCAATAAAAATACAAGCCCTAGCGTACTTTGAAACATCGGCCATCAAGAAGCAAGGCCTCTCAGAGCTCTTCGACTACGTAGCTGAGGCTGCCTTGAGAACGGTTCCAAAGTCCAAGACGAGTGGTATAAGAAAGGCTCTCTCGAGGGGAATATAGGCTTAGTACTTCGAGCTAGGATGGTGCCGAAAGTACTCTTGTGACCTATCCTCACCAGTTACTGTGTACTATGAAGAGCCATAGGAGCACGATTAGTGCTACAAAGTGTCGGGATGATTAGATAGCGACATCGTCATCATATCAGCATTATTTGCGTTCAAACACAGACATATCTTCCGAGGAACAATCTCGTGCGCACGGCTTGGCCCTTGGGAGATGTTTCACAAACTGACTTGGTTCTGCAACACCTTGAACCTACCGGAGATGCCAAAGTACTAAACGATTTTATGGCCTAGCGAACAGGTTAAGCACAACAAGGAGTATAAACTTCAGCCACATGCTACGTGAAGCGACAGACGAGCTCACCAGGGATGACTTGGCCGGCACTTTACGTTTAGGGATCGTTAAGCTATGCATTCACCTGAATTGTCTAGCAGCTCTCACAATTGCATCACCTGATACTCGTTTGCTTATGGCGATGATTCAATGAAGCCTCTGTAGAGTTAAGTTGGGTTGGAGGTGGATGTCAATTTGCCTTCGTGTTAATGGATGAGTATCACCGTGGGGCTGACAGCATTTGCGGGGTAGCATACGTACCTGCCTTGGTAGATAGCGATCCCGAACTATGCCGTCAAACGTACAACAACCCTGCAACCTTACAAGTGTTCTTGAAAATCCCAAATTTAGTGCAAGGAAGATGCGGAAGTTCGAACATCAACCTGACAAGGGCGGCCCGAAAGGAAGCGCAAAGGCTAGAATACAGCTGCCGATAGCGCAACCAGCTGCTAAACCGGCGACAAATGGGTCTTCAGACTCACCAAACATCACCTCGTCAAGTACAGATCCTTACAAAGCAGCTCGCGAAGCTCTCGATCGCGATGGCTTCGTCGTTCTATCTGCCTCGCTATTTCCGTCTTTTGATCTTGACGCCCTTCGCGCCGCTGCCTCACGCATGACAGAAGCAGCACGATCTGGAAAGTGGCCGTATATACGTACGCTACCGAAGCAGTTTCCACCATGGCCACAGGACCCCTCAAGTGGGATCTGGTAAGTATCCCATCCTAACTGTATTTGAGACATACATTGACTTTGTATGTCGCACTTAGGGGCGTCCAGCATCTACTCCACCCATCGAATTCAGATCATCTTACGTTCGCAAAGTCGTATTTCGACAGCGAGCTGCTGAAATACGTCGGAGCACTAATTGGTTGTGGAGAAGACGACCTGACCATGGAGCTGTACAACATGCTCGTCCGGCCGGATAAAGATTTCAGTCTGCGGTGGCATAGAGACGACATCGCAGCGACAGCAACATCAGAAGAAGAGCTGGAACGACTGCAAAAGCCAGGACATCACGCACAGTGGAACCTTGCACTGTATGATGACAGCAGTCTGGTCCTTGTGCCTGGCTCGCACAAACGTGCACGCACTGACACAGAGAGGAACGCGGATCCGTACGAAGCACATATGCCCGACCAGCTTACTGTGCATCTGAAAGCGGGGGAAGTTGCATTCTACAATAACAACATTCTCCATCGCGGCGTATACGACAGCACGAAAGAGAGGATGACGCTGCATGGCAGTATCGGGACAACGCTGGCTGGGAGCGAACGAGCGAGAAACGTGCTACAGCACGGTGTTGGTGACTGGGCGAAGGAATACAACTTTGACGATTTTGAGCCTGAGATGGCCGCAAGAGCGAAGAAGATGAGAGAGAAGCTTGTGGAGATGGGCAAGGCAAGTGGGGATGTTGGCTTCTTCTCGAAGGATGAGTGAGCTTGTCATAAGAAAAGTGCATGTGACAGGGGGCTCTGAATGGTGTTAAGAACGTCATCGACTGAGCCTGTTATTGAGCGTATGCTCTGGAGGAGTACCTATCCTGCATCTCTCTTGATGTTCCAAAGCGAATGTAGCCGATACTGTCGACGGAAATCTTAGCATGGCTTCGTAATGGAGAAGAGGTCGTATAGTAAACTCAGTTTGGTGACAGAGTAAAAGACCTCTTGTAGCAATAGACGCAGACTCAAGTGCGTTGCAGAAGACACCATACCGACATGCTCGACATTACTAAGTTGTATTAAAAACAACATGTGGGCTTGAACACGACGAACCATCGCGCCACTTCGAGAGCCTCGATGTATTCAGCAAGGTTGTCGCTTAGAGAGGGGTAGCTTAGTACTACATATCAGTAGTGTTCCAGACCCACAGCCCAGTCAAACCCTTCACCACCCCTGAACAACTCCCCACTCTGCTTTGAACAGTCCAGGTTTTGCTCACGGACGTCTGGTCTCTATGTTACGATGAGAATATAAAGACTCCAGCCGGCCTGATTTCCATCAAACAACCACTCCTAGTTGTTCAGATCTCCAACATCAGCATCGGTGGTTTAGTGGTAAAATTAGCCGTTGCCATCCATCACAGGACAGTTTCGGCTAGCCCCGGGTTCGATTCCCGGCCGATGCATTTTTGCTGTTGCACAGGCCGTCGTGAGTGTCGCGATTGTCGTGGTGGTGGTGTTGATTGAGAAATTTGTCTTTTTGCAAAGACCCGCGGACGTCACGTGTCGGTGGGGCTCAGTCAACGCCAATCGCTGTTTGACGACGCGCCAAAAACTTCTAACAGCGGGGTATGCTGCAGGCGCTCGTCACTATGTTTCGACTTTTTTGTTCTCCAGTTTTGCGCTTAGTGGTCGGCTCCCAAGCTGGCACGGTGTCGAATGCGACTTTGTGAACTGACAATATATACAGTACATTTCGCTTCAGTCTTCTATACTTCCTAAAGAGGAGCCTTGGCGCAATGGTAGCGCGTTGGTTTTCGGTTGAAAACATAAACACCAAAGGTTGTGGGTGTAAGTTTCTCCATAAGGCCGATAGTTCGAGCATCCATACTAACATGATACAGTCGATCCCCATGGGCTTCGCTTGCTTTCTTTTTGCCTTTTTCTGCGCTTTTGCCGCTTCCTGGGACACGGAGATACATCTCAGACGTGTTTGATGCTCTGATTTGTTGTCGCCGTAACTGCTGTTCTTTTTGCAATCTCCACACCCATCACCAACGCCTCCTCTCTCGCGTTTGATGCAGAGTACGAGTCACGGTAATTGGGTATACATCTGACGAGCGGCTGTCCGCGATGCCAAGTAGGCTTTTGACGATCTCCTTCTGCTCCCGGTGGCTGAACGGGGGATGATGTACGGCAAGGAAATTGATCGCGAGACCGACGGCAATCGGCCTTCATGTTTCACACATATCCACCCGTCCCAGCGACCAGGTTGCCCTCTATTAAGACAATTAAGACAGGCAACCTGACGCACATAAACAAACCTGCGTCATTCTGAGTGAGATTAAGGTTCGGGAGATTGTGATACCCGTTCTTGTCGATCAGATAACCTTGGATCTGAAACCACGGTGAGCAAAGTGTGGATATACGATTCAACGGTCGATGCTCGCTGGCTCCTCAACGGTACAAGGCTGACGTGTCGCTCCGTGATGTCATACCAGCAAGATCAACAACGGTGAGATTTGACGCAATAGTCCGACGATCTTTGTGATTGACCAGACTTCTTTGCGTTTTGAGCTTCGCCAGAGCTGTACCTGCCTTGACTCGACTGCCCAAGAAGTAGTCACGATTGAAAAGCAATCTTCTGGTCACCACTAGGACTTGCACCAGCTTACTCACTCAAAAGCTAGTTCGATGCATGGAGTTGACGAGAACGATAACGCGAATGACAGTCCGATCGTAATGGTAACTTCGAGAGGTCTAGCCTCGCAAGTGTCAGCGCTATATACCGCCTTCTCTTCTTACCCAGTAAGTTGACACAAAGTAGGCAAGTACCATCTCCTAGCCAAGGAGTCCGTCAAGTTCTTCGTGCGTTGTGAGTGATGGAACACGCCGACATGCTCGTCTTGTGTAACAATGAGACTGAACGGTTGTGCGCAGGCAGGCACACGGTTGACTGCAGCAGGACAGAAGTTCCAGATCCGTGGCGCTCAGTTGCATGAACCTTCGAGATGCCGCAGACAGCGGCTGACGGCAATCGACGATTAGAGGAGAGATCCAAGCCACAAACACTGAGCCCAGGCACGCCCCGATTGGCTATAGCGGTTGTAGAGTCGCAGGCTGCGTCATTAGTACAGAGCTCTATCTTGTGTGACGTTGATCAGAGTAGCCACAAAAGCTTCGTCGCGCGGGCTTGGCCGGTCTAGACAGCAATTGGGCTTTTGTGGGGTGCCAGACGGGTAGGCTGACAAAATACATGATTGGTGGGTTGCTAGAATTTTCTCCCCGAAGAATCGTTGGGAATGCTTCAGGTAGATGGACGCGTGGAGGCAAGAGAAGCAAACTGGGGTCGCGTGTGACGAGACACGATTATATGTTCGTGGTTGCCGCGGATGGACAAAGACCAACTTTGGATTGCATCACAGCCATGGAAAGATCTGGACTGCGTGGAGATGTTGAATCTTACAATACCCCAGATATGCAGTGGAGCAATCCGGGAGCTGAGAGCTTCTGGACAACCCACCAACCGGCCAATCAGTCAACCAAGTCTTGTTATTGTTGGAAAGAGAGTCAGGTAATGTAGAGAACTTTTCGTCTCAATGCCGGAGTCGCGTCTCAGTACAGAGCCGATGAAAATGTGATCCAGAGGGACGGTTCCTTGCGATTACGTCCGCAATCCCGCCAGCTCGGAGAGCTAGCTTCAGTATGCGCGAAGTCAATTCTAAATGCGTTGTGCTAGAGTTTAGCGGCAAGCATCAGTAGCAAACGGTGCTCTCGGGGTTCACTGCCGAGGGACGCGAGGAGAAATAATGCACACAAGGACGTGATGGCGAGGACGCATGGTGGTGGTGATGGATGGTTCCCGAAGAAGCAGGAGATTTTCGTCGATTTCTCCACACGAGTCGTTGATTGGTCACCATGCCCAAAATAGAAGTTGCACTGATCGTGTCTCTCTGACGATCGCGTCATCCTGGCGAGAAAAGCGGGACGTTAAGAACATGGTGCAACACCGACAGCCAACCCGCCCTCCAACGCCAGAAGATACGAAGACGCGCACGACTGCTTTGTGTGCACAGACACGAGGACAATGGCAATGGGCAGGACTGCAATTGCGCAATTACAGGAAATGATGTTGTGCCTCTCCAATGCACATCAAACAGTTCTCATCTCGCTGAGCCGAGCATCCTCGTCCCGTTCCCCACGCCTTGGGAACATCGCAATCCGCGAATTTCATCACGGGATGCGATCCTGCACGAGTCTCGCGGAAGGCCCGACGTAGTGCCGCGGACCCTCTGAAATGGTGCCATGCATGTGCAAGCAGCAACGCCTGGCCTAGAGGACCTGGCATAGTCGTCCCGCCAAATAGCAAAGGGACGGGAGACTGGCGCGCAGAGGAGCGGGGTACAGACATGTCGGTGAAGCATCGAGACGGCGAGAGTTGGGCCATGGAGCATCGTTATCGCAGCCGGCCAACTAACTGATGTGCCCACCGCTACTCACCAACTGCTGCAAACGGCTGAGCCGCAGGTGCGCTGTGTGGGTCGCGCCCGGGTCGCGCAAGCGGATTGGCCGTGGAGCTCCCCTCGCAGGTGCGAATTCGTAAGTGTTTACCAGATCGCGTCGTATCTGCTCGGCCTAAACGCAACGCGTCGAAGCACACAACCCACGACAGGACAAATTGCACGCAGTTATCATAGGTCGGCCGTGGTTGTTTCGTGGGCGCTAGGATGCGCATCATGATGCGCGCCTGCCAGACCCTTTGCCGGCTCGGAATTGGCCCAGGCAGCCGTGACGTTGGCATCAACTTCTGCAGTGACCCGTTGCCATGCAGCGAGAAGCTTCCGAGAGGCAGGGTGGGAATGTCGCAGGATCAGCATGTGGTTAGAGGTGCAAATTGGCCGCCGCGATATTGTTCCCTATATCGGCTGCGCCCGAGCACTATATATGACCGGGGGAGCGGCCAGGGTCAAAGTGAAGCTGGCGAGGGTCGTGTTGACATGTTCTGTTCACAACGTCGCTGGTCGGGGGCGGATGAAGCTCAACGGGCCATCGGCTACCAAGATTTGCGTGAATACGATGGACAGATAAGCCGCGCCAGGGAAGTGGCCCTGAGTGAAGATGGAAGGCAGCGGCCACGAAGGCGCTGCAGACCTGCGACACGCTGGGCGGGCGCAGACAGACGGCCATGGCATAAAGACGCTGCTGCACCGTGGCGAGGCAGGGCAACGTGCAACGTGCTCGTTGTCTGGCGTGAGGAAGTTATTGAATCTCCTAGACCTAGCCGCGCCCGTCCGTGCGTGCTCCAGAGGCTAGTGCGGCCCCTTTGCCTGACAACCTCAACTCTTCACCGCGACGGCCAAACTTACTCTCCCTCTATTATTTCCTTTTCTGCTTGCTTGTTGAATCGCACGTCGTTCTTAGCAGCAGAAGACCGACTCACGCAGACCGACCAATGCAGGCTTGAACAACTGCTCGGGAGGCTTGGTACACGCTGCCATCTCCGTCGATTCACGACAGCCTTCCCAGCGCTTGACGACGTTACATTCTATTCTCTGTTTTAATACCTTCTCTGTTTTGTTTCATAGCAGGTACATATCCCCTAGATGCCCGTCACCACGACATGAGCCCGGCGACAAGTCTCGAGCCTCCCCAATGCCGCACCCCAAGAGGCCACACCCTCGTCTCCCGCCTTCCGTCCGCGACTCTGCTCACAGTGCCCATCGCTCCATGACCCGCATCCACACCCGCCCCCGTAGAGCCACCCTGCTAATCCTGTGACGCTCCACAGATCTTTACTTGCCTACCTCAGTCGCCGCTGCCGCTACCGCCGCCGACGAGCCCTCGCCCACCCCTCGTCGAGCTCCTGATAGCGCTACCTCGCAGGCCTCCGATGGCTCAGGTACTTACATCAGTCATCCAGACGACAGGACCGATTACAATGCCATACTCGCCGTCCGATGCCTACAAAAACACGCCCAACCACCCCAACCAGCAACAACAGCGGGCCTCGCAGATGCCGCGCAACCAACAAAATGGAAATTCGGGAGGCACAGGATACAGAGGGACGGCCGCACCCATAGCCCCGTATGCCTTCAACAGCACGCCTCAGCTGCGCCAGGAGAACAAGCCCGTCTCTGCACCAGCCCCTCAGGCCCAGCAGCAACCTCCCAGCCACGCCAGCCAGGCCCGACTCGGCCACCCCTCTCATCCCTCGTCATCCTCCGACTCCACAGTCTCCACATCGGGCTCATCCAACCGCTCGTCGGCTGGACCACCTGCAGGTGCCAGAGATGAACGTGAAGTCAGGAAACCCTACGACACCGTTGCGCCAACCATCACACTATCCACCTCCATACCCGATCTTTCGCTTTCGATAGGCGAATCATCGCCTGTGAAGCCCTCTCCAGGGCGATATCGACGCGGCGCTGGACGGACAGACTCGTCCAACAGCATCCCCACGGGTGCCACTACTCCGACACAGCGCTCTACATCTGGAGGAAACTCCCACATGGGGCCATCGCAGCCCACGCAGAACGAAGGCACAGGTGCTGTTAGCTTCCCACCGCCGTTCAGGCCCGGGCACAACCGAGCGAACAGTGCAGATGATACGCAAGTTATTCGCTCAAGCGGTATAGACCCCGCTAAGCGATACAGAAGACGCAGTTTCAACGGACTCGAAGGAGACAGCACCGCTGCCTCTAACATTGCAACACTGCAGGCCAGCTCTGGAACCGGCCAAAGCACAACACTGAGCGCAAACACCACAAACACCTCCAACTCAAATCGTACAGGAAGCCGTCCCGCCTCGAGTCATAGCCATGAGAGACAGGGCAGTGCGGGTAGTGCTTCCTCCAACAACTCCTCGAGATCGCAGGTAAGTGTAGCGAATCGCTGGACACGCGCAAGCTAACACCCTTTTTAGTCTCGCCCCGCAGTAAACACACAACGTAGCTATGCATCTGTAGCAGGAGGTAGCTCTTCCAAAGCACCCGAGCCTAACAGACGGCAAGCTCCATCTCCTCTATCACATCCCGTGTCTCCATCAGAGCCTGCGAGCCCTGCCAAGGCAGCCGCGTTACCTAGCACAGCCATGCAACACCTTAGCGCTGTCAACGACAAGGACAAGGGAATGAAGTCCCGTCTACGCAGGGCCTTCTCTTTTGGAAGCGCTGCTGAGCTGCGAAAGGCCTCTGCTGAGAATAGCATCTCAGCGGAGCGTGCGAGGTTGAGGAAAGACAAATACCAGAACGATGAGGATGCTGAACAGGCTGCCATCATCGCAAAGCAAGAGGCGGCAGGTATTGGCGCTGGTATCTACTCAGGTCAGGGTGGTATAGGCTCTACCGACAATCTGTCTATACAGTCGGCTGCATCGTCAGCCTCGGTTATGCTCCGGAAGATGGGCCATGGAATGAAGAAGGGCACTAAATCTATCAAGGGTTTATTCAGGCCAAAATCTGTCATCGGCGTACCCGCTGCCGATGGCCCCATTACCAGGCCCAGCGTGGGTCAGGTGTCTTTAGTCACCGTCGAAGCCGAGAGACAAAAGGTTAATGTCAACGCAAAACCCAATGAACAAACTGGAGGTGGCACTGGCTATCCCAGACTGGAGCGCAACTCCATCGATGCCGGTCGATCTGCAGAGATTGTAAACCCCTCTGTCCTGGGCGGCGAAGCTGTGTCTAGGAAAAGCATCGTCGGAAATGACCGCGATCGTGCTGAGGTTCTCTCTTCTATGAAGAAGGGTATCTTGAAACGTATGTTGCATACACTCGCGCTCAATATAGTCACTAACGAGACGTCAGGCACTGGCACAAACTCAGATTCTGGATCTCCTGTTCTCAAACCTGTAGACATGGGTCCTAACGTAGGCTCATCGCGATCCAGTTCTCCTGCCACGCCCAAGACAGAAGTTGGGCAAGCCCGGAACGATGATTACTTCGGCAAACCACCACGCATCCCCAATGGCAGCACGAGGAGTCTTCCAACCACACCCCATGGTGGCCTCCGAAACATCAGTTTCAGCCCACGCATACAATTCCACGACGCCTGGTCACCGCAGGATTATGATCGTAGGGGCGACATCGCAACGTGTAATAGGCTTACACCGATGCTTGCGCAACAGATCAAGGAGGAACTTAACTCCTTTAAGATGGTACGTATCTCAGCAACCGCATCGTCAAGCGAACAAAAACTAATCACACAAGCAGGAGATGGAAGTTCACGAGCTCTCGAAACCACACACCCATTTCTTCTAATGATTATGCATCCATCATTTGGACATGGCGTCTTGGCGAATACCTCTCATCGTTGCACTTGCGGATTGGAGCCATCAGCATTTACCAGTTGTCAGCTCTGTTTCATGTTCTGGTTACTACGGACTTGTTCTTCCATCTTAGCGAGCATTTGCAGTCACGTAGAGGAAGAACGCTTTGCTTGCGTGCGTGGGCGCAGCAAGCGAAGTAGTCGTTGGCATTGAACCGCAAAAAAGACGGAGGGAGATCTTTCTAGTTGAAGCCAGCTTTTTCCTTGCCTCCATTGTCTTTGTCCGTGGTTCAGTCGTATGTTGACGTCCTTTTCCTTTACCGTCAGAGGTGTCTTTGTCTCTCATTACTTTCCTTGTGTCAGTATTAGTCATGGTTGAGTGGTCTCTGCGTTGTCTACACAGTAGAGGAATCAGTATGCAAAAAGGAGAGTTGGACATACTTGGCTGGCGCAAGAGTCCCTGTTAGTGGCTTGTGCCGATTAGCTTGTAATTGGAAAACAATATTCGGCGTATTTCTGCTCTATGTCGACGTGGAGTAACATGTCCCGTGTGATCCCTCAACATCCTCTTGGCTAACAAGGCATTCGCCATCCGAGTGGGACAAGTATTGATCTACGCTGCACTGTACTAATGCATGTTTACCATCGACCAACCGCGTCCTAAATTTGGTACACACAATTCCCCGAATCTCGTATCCTGCCCTGCAGCGTCGCATTGATGGTCAGACCCGCCCGTGTTCATGTCACTTCTGGTAGTTGTCAACGACAATCTCCGAAGCCCCCCAGCAGTTCACAACACAAACATCATCTATTCCATCCGCCAACACCACCTTGATGGTTATCAATGCGGCTTCACGAGCATGCCGCGGTCCACCATACCACACTTTCCTGTTCCAGCATGTCATTCCGATCATATATGCATGGCTGCACTTGTTGGCGGTTTAGGCGCTAATCCTCCGATTCATTGCAACTATCGTTTTGGGATCATGTCCGCAACCTAAAGCGGTCGAATGATCCCGCCCCTCGTCGAGTGCAGCGTGTGGTGTTCGGCAAAGTTTCACGGGTGCTGTGGGAATTAGTGATGTGGGTGCAAGTGTATTGATATGTGTTGAGGGCGGGTAATTATACATTTATCGTACTTAGAATGCTAGAAGGGTGCTGTATGTGGTCACTATTACATTTGATCTGAACCTTGTTAGACGACGTACTATATAAGATAGCGCACATAATTTGACGGCTTGTAACATGCGCGTCATAAGATCCTCTCAAGGCCGGGACCTACCTCGAGCACATGTCACGTGAGATCAGGCTCGCTTGAGGAGCTGGTTAGCGCGTCTTGGCAAGGCCACAGCGTCTCCGCAGCTGAACACCCCAATTTCGTCGTTCGACAGTCAGTCCTCAGCAACCACACACAACCGACAAAATGGTACGTCTTCTGCGCAGTCAGGTCTCCGGACCAGAAAGAGACTGGAGCTGATTGTATACAGGCACCTGCAGCAACTGGAGGCAAGAAGCAGAAGAAGAAGTGGTCCAAGGGCAAGGGTACGTGATACAGCACTGCACACCATCAGCACATCTACACGCATCGCAAACACTTCGGAAACGCTCGAAAGCATCATCATAGACGTCCGCAATCTCGCTCTACTATCGCGCACTCTCACAACGCTCCGGGGAAGAATCGCCACTAACAGCCGTACAGTCAAGGACAAGGCCCAGCACGCCGTCGTTCTCGACAAGCAGACCAACGACAAGCTCCAGAAGGATGTCCAGTCCTACCGCCTCATCACCGTCGCTACCCTCGTCGATCGCTTGAAGATCAACGGCTCGCTCGCACGCAAGGCGCTTGCCGACCTCGAGGCCAACGGTCAGATCAAGAAGGTTGTCGGACACTCAAAGCTCAGCATCTACAGTATGTAACCGCAACAACGCCCACAAAGCCACAATTTCTACCGGAATTGGAGACAGTGGGAAGTGAATGTAGGCTCTTACTAACATATTGCAGCACGAGCTATCGGCGCCGAGGAGTAAGCTTTACGTAGCCGACAATTAAACGAACGTAAATGCGAATCTCGGACACTTCTTTCAGTTTCTCTACGGCATTCCTCTTTCCATTACCCATCGGCGTCTTCATGAAATGAACGGGTCATACTATATTGGGATGCATGCTTCATAGCGGATATGAAATGAGAGGAACGGGCTCGGGTACAGTACCTAGAGTCCATTGGAGGTGTCGGTTATGTACTGAATGAAAAGACTTCCGAAACACCACCACTGAACTTGACCTCGACGTTATGATTGTAGCTATGCGTGAACAAATTGACTGGACTGATTTGTCTCATGCCCATTCTCCTCAAAAACACTCGTCGCTTTTGTGTGCATACTTGTGGAGACCATAGCATTATTTCGTTCGATCGTCATTATCCATTGCCATGCTTGTCGCTGACAGCGAGTGTTATGGATGAGGTAGCAGCTCGCCGATGTGCTTTTGTCTTCTGAGCTTAGTATAGTTTGGTCAGGTCTTTTCAAAGCTGCTCATCATATCGGAACTATGTCTTTAGACTTGTTTTAAAATTTAGATGCTACTGCCAGGTATCATAAGATGAAGCTCTCTTTTCTAAGTTGTCCAGCCTACTGCAACAACACTTCTTGGAAGTATACGCTATCTCTCATGCGATCGATCACCAATATAGAATGCAATAAGTAACCTTTGAGTGCAGCCGATGTAGGCAAGATTTAGGAGCAACATGCTCCTTTATAGAAAGGAAAACCTTACGATATCCGCAAGTGATGGTGGGTGGAGAGCTAAGAATGCAGCAGCCACTAATCGACACATCTGAATATTATATGGTGCAGTGTGCTGGAGAGACGCAACTGTACATGCAAGAAGAGAGTCATCCTAAAATTCAGACTTGATTTGATTGCACCAAAATAGCAACTACTTAGTCGTACTTCCTGACCGGCCTACCCTTCTCCGCCTGTTCACAGAGTCCTCTCTTGGGCATCTTGCTCTCCCAGCCCGGTTCCCTCTTGACATGGCCCACACGCCGATACGGCTTGCCCTTGTCACCCCGGAACAACATATGCCAACCCTCCAGACCAGCGACCATTTGTTTCCTAGCACTCTTGAGCTCCTGCGCATGTCTATTCTTTAGCTCACCCTTGGTCAATGGCTTCCTCTTCCTCGCCTTCTCCATCTCAATCTCGCGTTCTTGTGGTGTCAGGCTGACCTTTTCCTCTGGGTCAATGGGAATGAACATTTGCTCTACGCCGCGTAGATCAGGGACGCTGTCTTCGGCGAAACAGCCGGTCAGGAAGGCGCGCGCGGCGTCTTTGCCTGCGAAGAAATGGTAGGAGCCGCCTGGCCCGTACGTGGTAGGCGAGATGGAGACGTCGTAGATTGTGCCGTTTAGCGCAAGGTAGATTGGTTTAGAGGGATCGGCGCCGTTGTATAGGGCAAGTTCGGAGTCGGTTAGGATGACTTCTCCTTGCTACAAGATAGGCACGTTAGCTATGAGAGGTTTGCTAGTGGAGGACGATAACAGGCACGTACCATGAGGCTCTTCCACTCTCGAGCTCGAGTCCACCATGGGTTGTATCCCCATGTCATACTCTCTCCGCTTGTACTCAGGTAGCTCAGACCACAGCTCAGTAGGAGCACGCCACCCAGGATACGCAATACATCGAGCATTGATACGCCATTTGATGTTGCGACAGCTTGTTCTTTGACGGCTTGCTTAAGCTCCGCTTTCTCTTTCGCGCCTGTGGCGGTTGGTGGAATCGAGGATGTAGTCGTGTCTGTAGGCTCGTCTTTCGCAGGACGACGGTACCGCTGGGATGAGGACATTGTGGTGATCGTGTGCTCGCTTTTGCTACCTGAATCGTGTTGTCAGTCTCTACACACGTGTGCATGTATCGATCGCAGTTGCGCAGAGGTCCTCCTACCTGTTCATCCAGCACCCATGCAGCTCAAATTATGGTACTTGCACACGAATGCCGAGGCAAGATACCTCGCTCAAAGGTAACTAGCTATAGAATCAAGTGTTCGGAGACGTGTCCGTAAGCCAGGTACCGTCGGATGCGCAATGCGGAGAATAGATTGCTTTCGCGTTCCGAGGCGTTACTCTCGGGAAGTACCACGCATCTCGGTTCCGATGATTGGCCGCCATCCGATTGATGTCATTGACGATCACGCGCCAGCACTACCGGACTAGACCTTCACTATTGAATGAGATCGACATGCGTGCACTCTGAGTAACATAAATTATGGAATTGATACGCGTATTTCTATAGCTGCTGTGTATCATATCTCCTAGACGAAACTATCGTTGGTATATCAATACAAGCCATTCCTTCCGCATTCGTACACACCGTTCGTCTTTCCGCCCATCTTTTCTTGTTCAGATGTTAAATTCGCATAACTCAGGTACTGCGACATTGTTCATTACGAATTCCATAAGGAGGGTGAAAGAACTGCTCGATGGTGTTCCGTCAGATTGACCAGAACCACACAAACGACTCACTCCGCGCCGTCGTGGATGTCGCGTATCTCGACTTGCGCCTCTCTGTCACTCTTGGGAAAGACCTGCTTAAGACCTGCTTGGAAGACGCCGACGTTGTAGTCGATGATAGCCTTCTTCTCTGCTGGGTTGTCCTGGCCCATGATGCATACCAAGGCGAGATATCTGTGTCTATCGTCAGTACAACTACGGTATCTTACCGTAACGGCGGTCTGACTTACTTGTTGATCTCCCGCAAGTAGAGGTATCTGCTATTCTTTTTCTCCATCGTGATCAGGCTTTCAGCATCGTTGTTCCCCGTCTCACTTTCATCCTCACCTTCATCGGGTCGATCCCAGCCATAGATTTCACTGACATCGATGACCACATCGATGTAATCGGAACATATCTCGTAGCTGCCGATGTCGGTAGGACTAGTATCTGTTGCAATGTAGATCTTGCTCATGATGTCGAAGAGGTAGGCCTTCTCAATGTTACATGCACCACACAGGTTGTTGAGCAGTGCTTCGAGCGTGGGAAGCTGTGGGATGAGCTTTTGGATCACCTTGCTGAAAGCTTCGAAGATGGAGTGGTCGTAGATGGATGTTTGGTAGAAGGATATAGGGGCCTGCTCGTAGCCGTGGTCCGAGAGTTCGTCTTGCACTCGTTGAATGATATCCCGGAAAGTATCTCCACGGAAGTCGTCCGATAGGCCATCAACCTTGTGCACAAAGACCTCAACGTTGATGTTGGGATATGATTGTTGTAGGTTAAGGATTGTCATGTTCAGTCGTGCAATCGCATCGAGGTATTCATCTTGAGCGTCAATAACCCATATCAAAGCACCGATTTCCTCGAAGATGTTGTCCGTATCGAAAGCTGGGTCGAAATAGTCTAGGTGACCTGGCAGATCCCATACTTGAAAGTCCATGAACGAGCTGGTGTAGTTGATCAGCACACGAGTGTACACGCCGCATGAAGGACATACTGCATTGATTCTTTCTTTATCCTGTAAGTTGTCTCGAGATACAGCGTCTCGCTTGGTGGTAGCTTGTGAAAGACAACACTTGATATCGAAGACTTGCCACTCCTATGATTATGTGGTTAGCGATGCATGGATGCTGGTCTCGTCTGATGTTACCTTCTCTGCCCCATGAGTAGCAATCGTGGCTTGCCATCTCCGGCCTTGCTATTCGGGACACGGCCAGTGTGGTACTGCGGCGCAAAGTCAACAGGCGGTTCCTCGGCGTTTGGTAGGTCCTGCAGAAAACGATCCATGGTCAATTGAGCACTTGGTTTGAGTAAGGACGAGCTGGTGGAAGTTCGCCTCGCCTCTGCGTCACCATATCGAATAATATCGCGAGCAACATCAATGGTTGCTGAAGGCCGCCTTGAAATGAAACGGCTCTCCATGGTGAAGGGTAGTGGTACAGGGTATATCGCTAAGAGCAGAAGTCGCAAAACTAAGAGAAAATTGGGTATCGTGGGTTGAAGAAAGCGCCGCGCCGAGACAAAACAGAAAACAGAAAGCCGGCCCTTCCTATTTCACTTCACCTGACCGGCATCTGCGCAGTGAAGCGTGGTACTCTCGTGGGGAGATGACAGGCACGCTGCGACGACGTGTGGTACAACACCAGCAGGGAGAGGCCACGAGGACGGGCGGTACATGATAAGGGGAGCTGGCGAAGAAGTGACGGGTCAATCAGGAGCCCCCGAGATGTTCTACAAGAGCAGACGGTGATACGCGCAAGGCAGTCGACACCGAGCGGAAGGCACCAAGGGGAGCTCAGGCCATGGTGCAGACGTACATAGGGCTGAGGAAGTCGCAACGCAACCCGCGGCCTCGCAAGAAACCTAACCGGAAGGGGAAGACGACGATACACGTGGGGAAAGCAAAGGAGTAAAAGAAGGAATCTGGGCTTACCTCCATGGTTGTTCAGTGGTAGTGTAGCGTCTTTGCGTTGCGCACGGTGGTGATAGTCTTTAGGCCCGAGCCTGCCACTGCCCCAGAACCGCTGTCCTTGCTAATGAGCCGACGCCCAACTCAACCCACCACTTCAGCCAGACACTCGGGATTACTATGTCTCTTCCAAGAACACTTGCATCACCCTCTGCCAGGGTCCCCGTCCTGCTGATTCTCTCTTCGCAAACGTCCTTTGTTGATAACCAGAAGCCGAAGAAGCCGGGTCGGCAAGGATGACAGTCCGCGGGCGCCCAGTCGTCGGGCACCAGAGCGTCACTGCAACACGAATCGAGGCCGGGTCGGAGATAAGTCAGTGCTGCTAATAGATAGCTGTAGTAGTACGATGCTGAAGCATCTGGGAACGTCGTAGAAGACGGATAGTGTCATCGCAAGGAGACGGTTGGTCGCGTGCAGTCTACGTTCGCTTAACACAGGAAGATCTTCAGGCACCATCACATCCTCGTTCTCAGCTTTCCAACACCAGCCCAACTACGATAAAGAGTGAATGCCCTTGTAGTCCGTGGCTTGGAGTAATTGCCCCATTCGTGTTATGCAAAATCAAACTCTGTCAGCCCAACCCTACTCGAGTCAACGCTAACGATATTACCGCATGGCAGGCAAGGATGCGTTTTCGCGGATAGCTATCCGCAGCAGCAAGGTTACACGACGTTCCAGGAACGCTCCCCAGCGTCATTGATACCAGCGTCACATCCCCTTTAGCATCTGATGAAGCAGATAGATATGTACGAGTAATCTCAACGAGACATCAATATACGTGTGGTCCTAAACTTGCTCATCAACTCATGTATTGTGCACGACGCTTCTCGCTATGTTCGTACATCATTAGAATACCAAAAGCAATATCAAAAACTACCCGACGCTCCGGCCCTAAGTGTTGCTGGGCGAAGTGCATGTGAGACATGCTGACTTCATACACCCACACCTAAAATCCAACCTGGGAATACGAACGCAAAGATCCAAAGCCATTATTTCCGTTCTCCACATCTCCGTACACCAGAAGCCCGTAGGTCTACCTGAATATGATCTTCATTCCAACAAGTAAAATGGCATCCCTCATTTCCGGTCGGATGATACCAAGTACGTCGACTATTTCAGTCCCGCGGGCCTGTCACCTCGGCACCTAGAGTGCCCGCAGCTAACTGACCCAGTCCGCCGAAGAAGGCAAGAAACAGGGCTAGTGCAGTTGACTCGCCAGCGTGAACCAGATCCCCCTCAGGCGCAGAGCCGTCCGATTCCATTTCCTGCACCGCTCGCTTGGTCTTCTCGGATGGTTGGTAGGTAGCATCAGGATCACCAGCGAACGAGCCTGCGTCTGAATCCGCATCCGAGATACGCGCTTTCCCCCTTGTGCTGCGCCGCAGAGGTGCACCTGTCGGTCCTGAATGCGTTGCACTAGATGTACCGTTGACAGCCAAATTCTTAGCGGGACGTCCCGGTTTTCTCGGTGTTGTGGGTTCTACAGGCGACGATGGCTCGCTTGCGTGCTCCATAACTCTGGCCAGGTCTTGCTTGAAGCTAACATGTTTCTCGTGAGTCGGAACAAGGAAAGACAGTATGCTGCTTTCCAAGATAGCATGCACATCTAAGTCGCGGGTGAAGGTCCACGTCAGCAAGCTGATGGCTGCGAAGAGAACATCAAGGCTTGTGACACTGATAGCCGGGTGCATACTGATATGCTTTAGAGCCTGGCCAGCGTTGCTGATGCTGGTGAGAAGCCTGTTCGTATTTGCCGAATCGCTGTTGCCGATAGAGTTGGAGAAGAGATCCCAAACATGAGAGCGCTGGGCGGGTCTGTTGACATAGATCAGAGTGGTCCATACACGCCAGTATACGAGAATAGAGGCTATTGACAGCGCGTGGAAGACTTTGGCGTATGATCTATGAGCCGCTGCCTTGGACGTATGCTGGTGGCCCAGAGCGTAAGGGACCAGTTGCGGGGCAAAAGCAAAGGCCAAAGGCATGGTCAGATAACCCAGTCGCATCATGCTCTTGTCGCCGAACTCGGAAACCAGTTGGGGGAAGAGATTAAGCGTGATGAGCGACGCAACAATGCCGGTGTCGTATACGAAGGCATATGGGGTGAACAACGCATCGTGTAGTGGAGTATCATCGCGGTGTATAGTCAAAGGCGTGTACAGGATTGTGATGAAGAACAAGCTCAAGGCATACCCTAAACTCCCGATTGAGCTCAGTAGCACAAACGAGGCGATTGTCGTGTTGGAAAGATTGCGTCTGCGACCTTTAGAACAGAAGTCAGTGGAGGTACTTGGGGCTGCAATGACGGCGCTGACATACCCTCGGCGCCCATAAAGATGGAGCTTGCAATTAGTCCAACAAAATACTGGCTGGTATAGAGGAATCCTTCAGGCTTCATAATTCCGACCTTGTCGAATTCGCGCACCAGATCTATGTCGGCGATCCAGTCGGCCAGGTACCAGCGCCCTTCCGCTCCAGTGCCGTACCAGCCGCTCCACAGGCTGCCTGGAATGTCATGTTTATTCTCTCCAGCCCACCGAACGTACGAGATGGCGCGCCAGAGGAAGGCGAAGCTTCCTACCGAGAGCAGTGAGAGGAGCGCAATGATAGAGAAGGTAACGGCATGACGACGGCGAGCGGAGTCTTGTGAGCGCGTGCGTGTTGACGGCGGCTGCGATTTGGCGGCGCGTCGAGTAGTGAGAAGCACACGAGCTGTGAGTACCGTGACGAGGAGTACTTGGCCGCCGAAAAGGGCGATGGGGAGCGAGTTGCTGCGCGTGGATGCGACGGTGTCGACTGGCGCCATGGTGTTGGCTGGGTGATGCGATCAAAGATAGGGATAGATGCGCATTACGCGACAGCAACGAAGTGGTTTGGTATAAGACGGAAGCAAGTCAGCCCAGCTGGAAGCATAGCTGGCTTGTTTTCATCTGGAACGCGCCTGCCTCCCCGCCGCCCACCTATGAACGTCACTGACGTAGTTCTGGAGCTTACCCTTGTTCCACGCTAGGCTCTTCCCGTATTGGCCGTCGATCTGGCGCATCTCCGTTTTGGCTTGCGCGACGCGAACTCGAGCCTCCAACACGATACCCGCTTTATCATGCCACATACCTATGGAGACGAAGACCTCGACAATGCCGACGACAAGTACCATGAATCGTCCGATGAAGACTTTAACCCCGACGCTGCCCCAGCTGAAGAGGCATCCAGCTCCGAAGACGAAGACCATGTCACTATAGAACCCACACAACGCAAGGGCAAGCGGAATGCACCGGCCGATCAAGACCTCGACTCTGGAGATGAGGTGACAATACAAGCTGCGCGGAAGAAGCGGGCGAAGAAGAAGGGCAAGAAAGGCAGCAACGAAGACGAGCTGATCATATCGGATGATGAAGGCGGGGAGGGTGGACTTATCAAAACTCGGGCCCAACGGAGAGTTGAGGGCAAGGAGAGGAGACCGCTTGCAAGAACCGAGGGCGCAACTGTTGATGTCGACGCGCTATGGGCTCAGATGACAGCAGCGCCTTTGAAGCCTCTGGAATCCACCAAACCGCAGGAAGCGGCCGCGCCACAGCATCATGCACCCGTAGTCAACATTCCAGTATCGGCGGAGGAAGAAGAACAGCTGACGATCAAGAAGATCTTCACATTCGCTGGGCAGGATACTACCGAGGAGAAGCAGATACCACGCTCGCAACTTGACAAATACCTCAAAGATGGTTGGAAGACACTCGATGCACCCGCTGCAACCACGCCTGCAGCAGAATCCCCTAAAGTTCCCTCCGAATCTACCGGACCCAAGCTCCGTCGTCCTGTCCGCCGCCCTTCACGATTCGATCCTAACCCTACAGGCTATGTCCGCGCTCTCGCACCTGAACATCAGCTCTCCTGGCCCCGTACATCCACCACCTTACAGCCCGATCAAGAACTCGTTCCGGAAGCCGACGTCCCGATCACGAAGAAGGCAGAGAAAGCGCAAAAGCTTAATGTTGTGGACAAATCGCGCATGGATTGGACAGGTTTTGTGGACAAGGAAGGCATCGCAGAGGAACTGGATACACATGGAAAGACCAAAGAAGCCTACTTGGGTCGTATGGAATTCTTGGCTGGTGTTGAGGCACGGAGAGAAGAGGAGAGGAGGAACTTGAAGATTAAGGCTGCGGCCGCTGCGCCCACGGCAGGCTGAGCTGTAGCGCTCGTAATGTTCTGGAGAGGTGTAGATGCTTTCTAATGATACCCACATGTCGCTTTACAGGGATGTGTTCTTTCCTGCTTCCCTGTCATGACTTCTTTTGCTCTGCGGCTACGTGTGCCTGCTGGAACGAGGCGATCGGACTCTTATTGGCACATGAAACTTCGCGTAATCATTGTATGGTTATCATTTCGTGCTGACAATTAATGGGAAGCGAAAGCGCAAATGGGTATACTGCAGCGCGGATACGACAGCAAGAAGCAAATATACAATGTCATGGTGCGTAGATACGACCACAGAAGATGAAGCCAAAGAACGAGATGGAACAGATCTCTACATATTCTCTCCAACCGTCCACGCTGTCAAATGTCTTGGAAGTTGCTACCGGATAGGCTCCTCGAGCGCGGCCTCAAAGTCGTCTTCCTCATCTTCCTCGTCGTGCTCAACTGGCGCCTTGATAGGTTTCGGCTTCATATTAGCACGGATGGATGATACTATAGCCCTGGAGTACTCAGAGCTATTTGCCTTTAGTCTCCCAAGCTCGCGTCCTGCCACAGTGAAAACGAACGTGGATTGTTCGGGCCGTTGAAACGTGTTGTACAGTACCGATGCTTTGATGGTATCCCACAGACATGCTCCAGGCGTAAGATACTCATCCATAAGAGGTCGAATATCGGGATGGCCTAAGAAATCGATGTACAAAGTCAGTGTACGTTTCACACACAATCCGTGTACGGGAGAGCTTACCAGGATCGTCAGGCCGTATAGCCTGGTACCGTTCGTAACAGGTGTTCACGAGAGTGTTGAAGTGGTCGTTTGTGCTCATATTACTGTGGACCCCAGCGTTCCAAGTATTTTTCACTTCTCTCAGTTTGCCAGTCAGAGACAAAAGTTCCTTCTCGATCGTCTTCGATCTGTTCTCACTAAGGTGCTTACTCGGATAAAGCAATGCCTCATCCAGTTGGGAAGCTTTCAAGAAGACGGATTTGAGCTGCACCATTGTCTCAATATTGTGCGCTCTTACAACATCGAAGTAGATGTAGTCAATTGCATGCTTGGAGTCGTATCGGTATGGCTTCTTCCGGGATTTCTCGACTTCTGTGGAGTCCTTGGTGTTGAAGCAATCCTCCATCGCGGCCTTGTAAACGGGCTGCTTTGGTTGTTTTGGTAGTCGGCGTACCCACCGATCGAAGTCCGCCTGTGTAAAAACATAGCCTTGTTTGGAAGCATCGACTAGCAAGTCGTGCATATCATACAGCTGCTCAAGCTTTGGTGAATATATGCGATTTTCGCTGTAGGCTTGCTTCTCTGCAATGGTGGTGACGAAACCAAGTAGAGAAGGATTATTGCGGAATTCGAATGCTTTACAGAGGAATTTATCCACTGTTTCCGGGTTGCCGGTATCCATGATATCCTTGAGCCTTTCACTTCGTGTTTTTATGCCATACTTTGCAGGATCAGGGGGCTGTACTGGCGCTGGCGCATTCAGAAATGGCTGCACAAGTGTGGTTTCCCAGCATATCCAGAACATATCACCATCGTAATCACCACCTTGAAGTTTTCCGGCTAGTGGGTAACGGCCTTTACACGGAAAGACCACTACATCTACTAAATGCGATAGTTCAGGGCGTATGGTTGTGCGCACTTTCTGGATGTCTGAGCGGCGACAAGCAGGCTGACGGGCGACTAAAGCTTCCATATCCCTAAGACAGAGGTACTTCTCGTCTGTCTTCTCGTCGACGAATGAGGATGAGAATTGCACCTGGATTTCTCCTGGCTCCAAAACCCCGAGAGGATCCGCTACACCATACAAAAAGGCCGATTTTGCAAGCGGTACCCGCAGCTTGGATTCCTGGAATATTTGCTTGGTCTGAATAAAGCGTTCGAGGCTTCTGGCAAGATACGGAAACCTGGTGGGTAAAAAGCCCGATTCTAGTAGAAACTTTAGCTTTTCCTCTAGAGATAATGGCAGTGCACCCTGCCAGGAAGGTTCAGTCCGGGTCTTTGCGCCGTTCTGGTGAACCCAATCGTACGTCTTGACAGGATCTGGAAGCAATTCTAGCAGCTTCTTGCGTTGCGTATCGAGGCACTCCCTCATGAGACCAGAAACAGCTTCTTTCTTTATGCCTCGATCAATCAAGATAGGAATGAACGATATATGGAGTTCCGATGGTGACGGCGCGGAACTGTAGTTGGACACCTCAAAAGTTCGGTGATGATGTGGCTGGTCGGCAGGTGGGTGAAATTTCTGTTGACTCTTGTTGATTTTGATCCAATATTCGAGATGCTGAGGATCCTTGGTGAATGACTCTGCACTGATCATCCAGAGTCCCTTAGCTCCACCAATACGTCCCTGAAACGCACTCGGTAAAGGACCAGAAACTCCAGTAGCTTTCTTGTATCGCTGCCATATGTCTAATGCGGCACCCACAGAGATGATTGAGCATCCGTCATTCATGACCGTATTGTTAGGAAATGGCTGCCAATGTAGTCTTGGATCGTCAAACCGTGTGTCTTCCGGGTCACTTGAAGCCAAATCATCATCCACGTGGATGATTTGCGATGTATCAAAGCATAATGTTGGAATGGTTCGAGAAAGCCCGAGTTCAATGCGAGCAAAGGCTTTGCAAAAACCCTGGTTCTCGTTGGTATCAAACGGTAGGAACTGATGAATCATCCGACCCACTGAACACGGTTGCTTAATGCCCCATCCTTCTGTCGCGAAGAGTACAATTCTTTTTTCGTGGACCGTATCCTTCCGGCGGGCGTTCTTACTCCTTTTCAAATCTTCAATGTGGAAGGCTCTCCATTTACGACCCAAGAAGGAATGTTCGGTAAGGAGCCATGCTTGCCATTGACTGCGAATTTGTTGCACCTGATCAGCGTTGTAGCGGGGCGTCTTGGAAGAATCAAATTTGGGTGTGTGCAGGTAGAGGAAGCGGTCTGAACCAAAGATTCGCTCAAATCGACACGATTTGTCTGCCTGTACCGGTAACAGCGTCGGATAGACAACGGGACCAGTGTCTTTTAGACTGAAAGTGATGTGCCCCTTAAATACGTAACCATCAAATTTGCGTTTCGCCGATGGCCAGAGGCGACTTGACTCACGCAGCTTCACAGGTGTAATGCTGTTATTTTTCTCAATGAAACGCCAAAAGGCTTCAGGATCAGAAGACACGGTAGATACGTCCATGCCACGGACCAAGTGCTGTACTTCGACGGAGTGCTCTATCGCTAGACGTTGACAGATAAAGAGGATATGGTAAGGAACGTGCTCTAGTGCTTTAGGGAGCTCACCCACGAAGAGATTCTGGTTGGGGAGATCGCGTACTTCGTATGACATCTTTAAGGGAGACTGTGTGTCAAGAGATGTCTGCCCTTGATAGTTTGGTACCCCATTGGATGGGAATAGTGTCGAATCCGATGTGTAGGCTTGCTGATCGCTCTGGTTGGTAATGAGAGGCGCTTGAAGATTTCCTTGCCTCTCATTTGGAATCAATTCCGATCTATTCCGCTTGTCTTCAACCTCGACAGAGGCCTGAAGGAGACTGTCTTCATCGATAGAACCAAAAGTCGACCGGCTTTGACCGCTGCTTCCTTGGGAAAAGACTTCATTGAGATCTCGCTGAATGTCTTGTTCGAATACTCCATTTCCTGAACGCCAAATAGCTTGGTAGAGATCGCGATCATCTAGGGAATCCACTGTATTCGAACTTATCTTTGTCAATCTAGGCTCGAGCAGGCTCGTCTCCTGGAGATCTCTGACAGCATCGATTGACGTAAACGAAGTGTTTGTAGTAGCTGCTGTCTCCTGGGAAGAAAAAGATGTGTTGTTGAAGGATGTGTTGGCCGAGGATAAGCCTGAAGGTGCAGCCTGGAAAGATCGAGCCATGTTGAGAGTCGGCTTCACGAACTGTGGCGGTGCGATGGGCGAAGATTTGATAGACTTGACAGTCTGCTTCCCTTTGGAGGTTTTGGTCAACTTTGCCGAGTTCTCAGAACGACCGGAGCTTTCGTAAGGCCTTTTCTTGGTGATATGTAAAGAGACATGATTACTTGCCTGATAAAGCGTCTGTGCTGGCCTAGTAGACGGTGATGGTGAGGGCGATGGGGATGGGGATGGCGATTGTGGTGTCTCAAATTCTTGGTCCGTCTCATTATCAGTGTCAACGTCTGTAGGTGACCCTGGATCGATGGCCGTCGCATACGATTCACGCTCATCTTGCTGGACGTCGAGCGAACGGTTTGTTGCCTGTGGAACTGACTTTACTCCTGTGCTCTTTTTAGCTCTTGCATAATACTTTCCCCTTTACCCCACAACTAGTTGCCAAGTAATAGCATGTGCAGAGTGCTAGGCCGACAACTCGCACTAGAAAGAGATAGTAATTCGAGCAACATAGGTTATGAATTGCACCCAGTTATTGAGCATAGACATCCTCTACCGATGTGGTAAAAGTGCAGGTAGAAACTTCGGAGGGCGTAAAAAGCAAGTGTACCTACCACTTGAGGATGTGGTCAAACTTTTGGGCGGTTCATTTTTTGGCATCCTACCCCTCGGAACCAGTTGTGAGTTTTTCGTACGGGACAAAATCTCATGAAGTTCTTTAAGACGCTTTTCGCGTGTCAGACTCGGAGCAAGGCTTTCAAATTCCCTGATCGCATGATGCAGGGCTGGCTGTGCGCTGTAGAACAGCAACTTAACAAGCGCACAGATCTTGTCTGGAGTATCATCCACCTTCGATCTTTTTGGCGACCATTCAGCGCCACGAATCTTTAGGCCAACCTTCCATTCTTTCTCCAGCGAGCGAATTAGGTCGTCGATGGCTGCCCCAGGGCGGCGGAGGTGCGGAGTTCCCGGTAGCGAAGCGGCAGGACCACCGTTACCCGTCATGACGCAGGGCAACAGCGTTCCAACACGCCTCGTGGTTCATGCGATCAGATCAATGACATGAACTCTTGCGAGCAAAAGAGAGCGAATATGGGTTGGAGGAAATGTGATATGGTGGGGTAGGTTGCGGAAGGCTGGGGATACTGGATGTGTGCCTGAGGCAGCGATTGCTGGGCGTTGAAACCAATGGTCTGTGCATGCAACGCGTTATCACGCAGTCACGCGGCGGGACCATTCACCGAGGAATACAGTTCCACCACTAATCCACGCAGCGCCTTCCAAGAGCTTAGTCAGTAACCAGAAAAAAAAACGTTTCACAGTATCTCCGGAGAACACATCATAGTCCTCACTGAGCTTCTTAAAGCTATCGCCGTGGACAATGGTAACCTGTGGCGTGGATAGGAGAAGAATATCATGTGTCATATACGGCTCCATGAGGTCGTCTAGATTTGTGCC